CCCGTCAGTAACAAAAAACCCTATCTTAAATTAAATCAGCAGCGTTTTCAATCTTTGTGATCAACAATCAGATGTAAATCTCTTTCAAACAGCTGATTCTTAACTTTGGACAGTCAAATATTGCACCATATTACAAACCTAAAGCAAAAAAATGTTTAAAGTTGGTTATTATTTTTATTTTTATTTTTTAAGAATTACAACACATTAAATGTAGTAGATTTTAAATGTTTACACATTAAGACAATGTTTTATAAGCTTTTGGCTATAATAAAAATACAATTATTAAATTGCTTCCAAATTAAAGCATTAAATTAAAATGCCACTAAAACAACCATTTAAAAATGATCATCATAAAGGCTTATTCACCTCCATCATGAGTCACCTAAGGCTTGTTAAGTTGATAGAATGTTATTTGATTTTCCTGTGTGTATTGTTGCATAATCAAGAGGTCAACAGACCAAAATGACATATAATTTCCTTTCGCTATAACTGCACTGACGCTAGTATTTCCTTACACATATCATTATACAAACACATTTCACACTATGAGACTGTAATTTCATCATTCATAATAATTTTATGACATTGGATATTTTTCAAATTTACGTTGCTATAAGTCTTTTTTTATCTTGTTGACTTAAATAAATAAAATAAATAAATAAATCTTTATTGTCACATAACGTTTACAAAATATAGCAATGCTATAAAACAGGTGACATTGTCAATACAGTATACAAATACATTAAAACTAAGGAGTTATAAAAGAATAAAATAAACTAACTTATTAAATACAAATACCAAATTGATGTTAAATAATAATAACTAGAGGTTGTCCAGTGGTCAAAAACTTTACCAAAAAATATTTAAATAGACTACTCTATTTTCATACCACGCTGTAAATAAAACATATGATTGGAATTTCTTTCATTTTTTTTAGCAAATTTCCCTTTAAGGAAGTAGCTATTACCGTAAGTGGCACGGTAAGACCTATGCCCAGGACCGATTTACTTTTTCATTTTGACTTGAGGACCCATGCTGCTCCGCAGCGTTAAAATAAATATAATGTCCGAGAAATAATCAAATTTATGATTTTTGATTGAATAATACAGTATCTTAATTGCTTAAATGAAAGCCGATATCTCACTGAAAGTTCTTAGACCAAAATATATAGGATTGTATAACTGGGGAAATACATCTTAAATTGATGTAAGAAATCGAAAATAATCAATTTATGTTTTTAGTCGAGTAATACAGTACCAAAAGTAATATTTATAGGTTGCAAGAATATGGTTGCAAGAAGAAGGTTGGAATAGGTTGCAAGATTATTTTCCTAGTAGGTAAATATATGACCATGCTTGATGTGATATATTTGCGTGCACGGCATCAATTTTTGACCTAAATCATGAAAATCGGTCAGGTAGAAGAGCCAAACGAACTTAGCAAAGAAAAACCAAATTTAACTCTCTTTTAAGAAATACATGGGGAGCAAATTTCGTTTACATATAAGCCGAGTGGTATTATAGATAAACATATGCCGATGCTTGATGGCTAATCTGTGCGTAAATACCTTCAATTTGAGACCTCAATCATGAAAATCGGTCGGGTAGAAGAGCCAAACGAACTTGGCAAAGAAAAACCAAATTTAACTCTCTTTTAAGAAATACATGGGGAGCAAATTTCGTTTACATATAAGCCGAGTGGTATTATAGATAAACATATGCCGATGCTTGATGGCTAATCTGTGCGTGAATACCTTCAATTTGAGACCTCAATCATGAAAATCGGTCGGGTAGAAGAGCCAAACGTAGTCGGAAAAGAAAAACCAATTTTTTTTTAATATATAAGATGTTGCCACAGGCCAAAAACCCCATTCGTTCAAATTTTTATAAATATACATGTTTAGAGTTATATGACGTGTCCGATAACTTGAGTAATTTTTGTCCAGCTGTAATGAAATTTGTTTTGAAAATGTAAGGTGGGATAAACTTGGATGAGTTCGCGAACCAGCATCACCGGACTATGGGAACGGGATTTTACGGGGGTTTACTTTATTTTATGGGGTAAAAATTGGGTTTTCTTATTTTTGACCATCAAAACACAGAATTCCTAACTTCTCTCTATACCTGTTTAAAGAGCTTAAAAAAAATTAATTAAGTATGTCAAAGTGTTTTTGTACGGAGAAATTAAAAATAAAATGTAATTTTAAAATTCCCATGAAGAATATTGCCATGAAGAACATTCTTATGAAGAATATTGTAAAATGTTGTAGTTTGCTTGTTTATGGATATATTTTGATCAAACTTGGCAATTTTATTTATTTTTCCTACAGTTACCTAACAATGTACATGTTCTCTCATTGATTTAAGAAAGCAAAGTGGCCAATTCGCTCATCAGTGAGACAATGTTAACATTGTCTCACTCTAATTACTTTGTCTCGCTCCAGATTTGCAACGTGAAGGCACGAAATAGTAAGCGCGTAACATGCAGGCAACGTCGTATGCGCGCGAAATACGTTGGCAGCACTGGCTGTAAATCAGCTGGTCAGCTGTTGTACTGTTGTATTTGTCACTTCACAATAAATGTTATATTTAAAAGTTCAGTTCTGTGTAAAAATAGGTTATGTTTCTTCACCAATTTATTTGTTTTATGGTAACTGTAGGAAAAATATAATGTGCAACTCGAGTTCAAAGTACAATTGCCTCACTCGAGAAACCATTCCTCACTCGCCTACGGCTCGTGAGTAAGGGTTTCTCTCGAGTGAGTCAATTGCTCACTTTTCTCACTAGTTGCACAAATAACTATTTTACTAAGCTATAAATATTTTACTAAAAACACACTTTATTAGCTTCCCTGTAGCAGCAAACCTAGGTACTCGCTAAACCTAATTTTATTTAAATAGATTTAATTTAAAATCAATTCAGGCAAATGGAAATTTGCTTAGACGGCAGGTTTGCTATGGCAGGGGTATTTTATTTTCTGTTTATATTTCGTCTCCAGCATGGCAACACATAAGGCCCATTTTACTTTTGTTTCAATTTAAAATTAATTTTTGTGTTTATTTTTAGGCTATTTTAATTTATAAAGGGATTCTTCACATCTGCAGGAAAATATCTTTCTAAAAGTAAGCGTAGATTTTCTCTGCAATGCATACAAGCTGGGAATTAATAACTTTTTACATAAATCTTTAATCCTGTAAAACTACAGTGTGTGTATAGTCAATGGTATAACGTAACGCATACGAAATACAGTATTAATTAGTATCAATTTTCTAATCAATAATCTTTAAAATTAAAGTTCTTTTTTTAATGCCATCATGACACAAAACTATTAATACTGTAATTAAATACAAACAAAATAATCTAAAGCTTGAATTGGCAAACAAAGCTCTATCACAATATGCATATTTAAAAAAATAAATTGAAACTAACTTCAAGGAAATTAGTTTCAAAGGAAACTTCACCGAGGAAATTAAGTTGTAGTTGTTATGTGTTAACAAGCTGATAAAATAATTGGATTAGTTAAAAGGCTTTATGCCATTTTACATTGAATAAATCTCAAGCAATGTTTCCATTGTTCTTTGTAAATAACGGCCCTGTTTACCCATAACAGATGTATAAGTAAGAACTAATAAGATAATTCTAGGAAATATTTGTTGTGAATATATCAATCCAATCATCATATATTACTTTTTGTTGTAAGTAGCCTTTTTGTCATTTAAGCTATGTAATCATACCACTGATTAAAATGTTATTAAAGTAATAACTATTCATTGCGAAAACTAATCACTGATTCACGAAAAAAATGTGATTATTTTACCATAGGTTGAAAAGTAAGTAAGTAATAAATTTAATTTTACCGTTTTACGTAGAACAACTTTGATTGAAAACATAATATTTTAGAGTGGTTGGAATAGCTTGGGATGAATTAACCTAAAATAACTAAGTGGATTTTCCAAGATAACCTAATGATGAATGACTTAACGACCTTTGGACTAGAGGTATTATATTAGATATTGGCATAATCTCGCAAACTACCCTACATTGTAGTCCCTGGGTTTAGTATTAGTAGGATATTTTTGTGATAAATATGCATGGCCAAAAATAAATGGTAAAATCCATGAATTTTTTATCTAATTAAATATAAAAATATTTAAATTTGTGTCTCGATTTTCACTGTAACAATACCATTTGAAAACAACTATGAAAAAGCCTAGTATTCTGCAACCTGGATTATGTGGCCAAAATATTATAATAACCATACTTTTTGCTAAAACTTCTAACCTTAGCCAAATTTAGGTATTAGCGTGAAAACTTAAAAAGCAAAACTCTGACAAGAAAATTTAATTGAGCTTACAAATGTGCTAATAAAACAACCAACAATGAAAGTACCTACTTTATGAATCGAGAGAGTTGATTAGTAGGCCTATAAATTAGTAGATACTTGAGGTCATCCAGTGGTTGAAAACTCGCCCAAAAATATGTAATGTACATACTTCTCTATTTTCACCCCACAATGTAAATAAAACATGTGATTCCAATTCCTTCCATTTGTTTTGACTTTCTGTTTATATTTCGTTGTTATTTCGTCACCAGCATGGCAACATACAAGGCCCATGCTAATGCTTTTAAAATTTTGAATCATTTATGTGCTTATTTTTTAGCCTATTAATTTATAAAGGGATTCAGCTCATCTACAGGAAAATATCTTTCTGGCAGTATGCGTAGATTTTCCGTGCGATGCACACGTGCTGAGAAAGAAGGTTTAAGAAACATGCTTGCCTATTAAAGGATTTTAGAGACACCTTAAGATAGGAATACTTCAAATATTTTCACCTGGCTTAAATTGTATCCCCAAAACAACAACCGAATGTGACTCTCTTAATTTAATAAAATAACTGTATTCCTACTTCAATTATAAATTTGGTGGGCTTAAGTATTTAAACAAATTCTGAATATGAACAAGAATTAAAGCTACTTCTAAAATAAAAATCACAAACTCACCACTTCCTCAAAAAACCATTGAAAACACTTCAAAGTTCAGTAAACTCGTTGACAAGCACTTTACTGTTCAGTACACTATGATCTATGGGAGTAGCAGACAACTACAGTCCGGCTACGAAGCCAACCTTCCAACAACAACAATGTAGACTTTCTAATGACAGACACTAGGTGGCGCTGGTGTGGCGACTTTAGGCGGTTGGCTTCAAAATAGCCTGAAAACTTACAATTCTGAGGAAAAAGGACCACTGACATTAGCTTGGTAAACATTAGTTTCAGTTTGTCAATTGTTTCATGAAAGACTTCAAATTTTAGGATAAAGTACTTGAATATTTGTTTAAGTTCCACGTTTTAATGCGTTTGTATTAGTTGAACCTCGATAACAAGACTCTCGTGGGGATGTTAAATAAGACTTATCTTATCGTGGTTAGCAAATGATTAGGGGTAAAATAAATTCTAATGGATTAAAAAATGAAGAAAATGGACCCGTTATTGAGGGTATTATTATCAATGGTATGACATATCATGGTTAAATAAAATGTTAGACTATTAGTAATTTACTTATGACCGTTTTAAAATAATTATGATCACCGCGGAAATGTTTACATTCTGTGTAAAAGAATCAGGGAAATTATAAACAAAATTTTCATAAAACCAAGGCTTTGTTGAATTTAATTCACGCAAAATGTTTAATGTAACTCATAAAGGTGTAAATTACATTATTGTTTATGTCATGTCATTTATATTTTGTCAACTATTTATTTGGCCTAAATTTGCACCTAGGCTTGCCAAGAGCTGTTCGCGAAAGATTTAATTTAAGATAAAACTGTCCAAAACGTTTCATCCTAAGAAGTTTTTCATTGTATCCTCTCTAGTAAACTATAGGTTTTGCTATTAAATGTCAATTGTATGAGTACCAACTTATGGAAAACTCTATTGGCCTACTTCTCCACGGCCAAGCTCTGGCAAATACGAATCACCCTCGGCAAAATATTACACAACCCTACCTTGTACAGACGCTTCTTGAAAGTCTTGGAAATTGGTGATGACTTGAGTACATTTTCGAGACTAGCATTGGATTTTGTATTAAATCGAGTGGACAATTCTATGACCATATCTACATAATATTGTTTGTCCTTATGGTACACTATTGTCTTTTAACTATGGAGGCTGGCGGGGACATACATGCTGCTGTAGTTTACAATACTTCCCTTTCAGTTTTCTTAGTTTAAAAGTTCAATGGATATGATTAAAACTGAATTTTGCAGCAGCATATTTTATCGCTGGATCAATTAAACTGAGTTATTTTGTAATGAGAATAGAGTACACTGAACAAAGTACACGATTAAAGTAGACATTTGATTTGTAGCACAACTTTACAATAACTGCACTGTCTGGAAGGTGAATTGACGTAACGTATCCGAAATCGCGACCAGTATGTTTGTCGAAACGTCGCAATAGTTATAGGATTGGAATGTTAACCGGTCGGTTGTGTATCTATAGTCAATGGTTTCAAGCAAAAGTACACTGATTTCCTCATAACATAATGACAATTCACTTACGGCGTAAAAATATTACCGTACCGGTACTTACTCAAATTTAGGTTTCATATTTTAAATTTCTCATTATTATTGTAACTAAAAAATAACGTCGTCATAAATAAAATTGTCAGCTCTAGAGTATGAATATTGGTTACAACCAATTGAGTTAATAAATTATTATAACCGTCCATATAATCATTATAATTGTCCAATTTCGCATTATTTCTTCTCAAATAAACAAAACATGTTTTAAGATATTGTAAAATGAAAACTAAAAAAGCAATCAATAAATGACTCTGGCTGCCAAAGAGTCATAGAATCATGATGAAAACTATGTTTGATGGTACTTGAGCGACCAATCCAATAATCCAAAAGATAGCAGGTAAATGAATTAATACCGCTAAAAGATTTACTATTATAGATTTTATTTTCTATGTCAGAGAACAGGGTGTACCCCATTCAAATTAATCCGTAAAGGGTAATCGTGAGATGATTTATAGGTTTATGCCAAATTGTAGCCTCCTTGTAGCCTGGCTCACTAAAAGTTTTGTAGCCCATAGGGAGTAAAAATCAGCTGGTGTCAACTCGGTTGTAAACTTCGATTGTAAACAATTGCATGCATCAAAAGTATGAAACGTTGATAGATTGTAGCAGTAGTTCATTGTTGCCTTATTGTAAATAAATCCACATATCGATAGTATAATGTACACTAACACAATCGTAATAGATGAAACGATTACTCAACAGCTGATTTTTCCACAAATTAAATTGAAAACAAGCTAAAAGTCGTTTTGAGAAATTTTAAATTAAAACTAATTCAGTTTTGTAACATAGTTTGTTTAAATAATGGTGCAAAGTGATGAAAATTTAGTTCACCACACGGGCAAAGCATCTTTTCAACCCTCACTCATTTTCCGACATCGGCTTCGCCTCGATCGCAAAACTTGAGCTCGATTCGAAAAGAGTCACTTTAGGCCCTAGTGATGAAATATACTGTAGTGGAAACATTTTTACATACAGCTGTACATTTAGATGTACTAAACATGTTTTAATCGTCACAGACTCTGAGAGTACCTAAACATTCTAGCTTGTATGATTACAGTCGAACTGTATAGCATATTTAATGGAACTAAAAATTACTAATAAGAATAAAAGTCTCAACAGTTACTGTAATATGCAACTGACGTAATGTTGACTGACCATTGCCTCTAGTATCACATTGTCTCTCAAGTGTTAGTTTACACTATGTATCTATGTTTCTCACACACACAAACGTGGTCCTTCACGTGACCTACAGTTTCCATTTGTTTCCAGATAACATGAGACAAGTTTCCAGAATGGAAAGATTATGCATACATTCTGGAACTAAGAGTTAGTTTCCTTTTTAATTACATAATATTGATACTCATCAAGTATAGATAAATGCGTAGTCTTTTATATACAGGGTGTCCCGGAACTCTCTACCAATATTTTAGGGCATTGTTCCTGAGTAAGAAACATTCTAAATATCATATTTAAATTGTCCGGAAGTCCTTAGTTGAATGTACAATGTGAATATGTATAGCCAATGCTAAAACCAAGCAACATTAAGTTGTGGTCACGACAAAGTTACATACTTCCAACAGGTGATTTTATTAGTCGCACGTGTTGCTAGTTGAGTAAGACGACCTAGGAAAAGATTACTCAAACTGCTTGCATTTGGAATCTGAATCAGATTAGCGAATACGTCCAATCAGGTGTAAGATATGCAACTAGCCTGTCGACTCAGCGCTGCAGATATATAAAGGCAACGACACTTCCATAAGCGAAATGTGAGCGTGTTTTGAAAGAGGGTGTAAGTTACATGAAACCAGTCAACCAAAATTATTATGAAAAATTGGTTATTTTCCCACAGTAGCTGGATTTCTTGTACTGATTAGAGCACGCAAAGTAGTTACATTTGCTTACTTTTGCCGCACTCATTTTACTTTTGCCGCACTCATATTTCTATGTTTTATAGTAACTTTGGGAAAAATATATTGTTGGTGTTTTCCTTGGAATAGTTTCGACAATCCATCCGACCGAATCAAGTTTACGGTGTAAGGTTTAAAACATGGGGGTTTAAACTGAAAACCAATGTTGCTAAATGTTATTTTCAAAATTTTAAGGTAGTTTGATAAAAGTGCATACAGACTCATTGAAATCCCTATTATAATTCACCCTTTTTAATTTATTCATCTGTACGAGATACAGTTATCATGGCAACGCAGACAGTTAGTTGCTATTGTTCATTGTTGGTTTATGATTGTTGAGTTCATTGTTGATACTAGCGTTCTACAACTTTGTAGATCATGAAATTAAATCGACGCCGTGTTGGGGTAAAACGATATTTCAAACAAAATTCAATCTGGAAATCAACGCTTAAGATCAAGCTGTTAAAATAAGCCCTAATTTTGGACATGGATTCAAACGAAATTATCAAATAAGTTCAATAAATTGCACATTTGGATTACAATAATGTTGTTGACTTGTTATAATCACGTCTGAGGGTAAAAAAACATTTCGGGGAATCGTGGTACTGTATTGAATGTTAACAAATATGCTTTGTGGTTTGATTTGAATAAGTACTTCGACACAACACTGACCATGATGATTCATTGATTTCAAAATCCTCGAAAAGGGTAGCAGCTTTTTGACTATTCGTAGACCATGCGTTTGGATTGTTTCGCAGAATATAATAAACATAACGTTTAGCATAGTACAACCCGAATATATTGCTATATAATTAATGGTACAACTCATAGACGTGGTCAAATTCCTGCACACCCTAGACTTTAGTGGTTAAAAGTACTCTTTTCGAACAAACCCGCTATTAGGAGCGTTGACAAAAGTTATTCGCAGTGCTGCCGCTAACTGTCGTTTACTGGCTAGTTTTCACAACGAGTTACCTATGCCATAACGTGGTGGTTGTAAAGTTGCCAAGTTTTCACACAAAGCAGGGAGTGGCAGTCACGTGGTTTGGCGGTTGTTGGTCGGTCTCTAGTGGTTACGAAGTTCCTGGCTGAGATCAGCTGTTCTGGTTCTAGTAAAAATTATATGCAAGGAGGTCACAAAATCTACACTTCTTAATAACATAATATGCTTGAAACTACGCTCAATGTAGTGCTTTGCCTAAAATTGATGGTTATGTTAATGAAGCATAAACAGTATAAAAGTATAAAGAGATGTTTATACCAGTATAAACGGAAAACATGCTGTCATTGGATACAGATTTGACTACTCATATTACCCATTATGAGGCTCAAAGGAGACGGATGAGGTTCAAAGATTTAATGAATGTAATTTTTATAAGAATTTTAAAATTGTAATATTTGGTTGTTGTACTTGGAACTTGGACCAAAAATAGAAAAGCACTAAATAATGGATGGTGTCCCGTTTTACTTTGTTTTAACACAAAAGCATGACTCTCTGGAAACCAACTTAGGGTTGGTAAAGCGAGAAGTAGGCCTAAAACTGGATTCCTACTCTATCCTCTCTTTTTTATTCCAGAAAGTCCTCAATACAAATCTCAATTTGAACAACTTGAGGCATACGTTTTAACAATTTTG